CCCAGGCCCACATGGCGCATACGCAATTTGCACCGGCTCGACTGCTCAAATATTTGAGGCATTCCGGCATTCGACACACAGCATACAGTATATAGCATACAGCATACAGCGCGTGATTAAATTAAATGTCGGGCGAGTTCGATTCGAAGCGGGCGACACAACTAATTAAAAACGACCAACAATGCGACGTGACCGGGAACGTGAAAGGAATTCGATTGCGGATCGGGGTCATCGCCCAGTTGACCAATGTCCAAATATTCCTCCGCTCTCTGCTCGCTGTGTGTGCGTAATGAACTGGCCAGTCCGCATAATGCGATTATTGTCCCTGGCATTTCTGGGCTGGGCGGTGGGTAATTCAATAAATTGCAATTCCATGCTGTTAACCCAGCCCGTGGGTATTTAGATGCCAAATCAAATGCACTTAACTAAACTAAAAGCGGCCGCAGTTCTGCGCTTCAAAGTAGGCAACGATTTGCGCGCAGCATAAATTTCGTTTGAGTGGAAAAGGGAAATTGTTAAAAGGGACCGACCGAAAACGCTTCTGCCTCTCCAGCTGAAAACTTTTTTTAAGTTAATTGAAATTCAGTCAAGAGGCAGCCGGGATACGAACATGGCAGATACCGCTTAAAAACATGCAGAATCGAGCAGATACCTCGTCCAATATACCCAAATATGAACCCAAAATAAAAAGCTTCCAACTTTAGTTTTCGTTTGATCAGAACTGGGATTGCCAGGATATTTATGTCCGTGCGTAGGCCTCGAAGGGCGGCAGGACTTGTTGAATGGCATACGAATATGTTGGGACCCAACCAGGATCTCCTTTTCGCTCCGGCGGCAAACAGTTTAGTCAGTACCCGGCAATGTGCTTAAGTCTCATTTATTTTTCATGACCTGGCCTATAAAAATTGTAATTTCATTACCACCGACAGGCGGTCCGACAGCGGAGGTGAGCTTCGAGGTGGTAGCAAGTGCAAAATTGAAACACACTTGAAAAATGAAGGTGCCCGGATACACCGAACCGAAAACCGCAACCAAACGCCAAAGGTGCCCCGACTCTCACTTACCGCCGCTGTCTGCCGACTACGACGGCCCTTTTATGAATTTTTAAAAATGTTGCTGTTTTGGCGGCTACCGGCGCTGATTTCGCAGTCATGGGCAGCCGTGTGGCCACAGGACCCAAATGCCCGGCCACTTGTTAGCCATTTTACGTTGCCACAAGGTAACCCTCGGCATGCGAGGGTATATGTGTGTGTGTATGTGGCTAGGGTACTTAACTTAAATGGCATATACACCCCGGCCAGTCGACATCAATTTAAATTGAATTTTCACTTACCTGAGGAGCAGGTTGGAAAAGATGGGAGAGAGAGGCTAAGGTTCTCCGGTTCTCGGGTTCTCGGACTTTGGTATGCAGCCCAGACACTCGGCAATTTACGTCCTGAATTAGTCTAATGTAAAATTTAAACCTTAACTTAGGCATTTCCTTTTCCGTTTCGGTTGCTCATCTGCTTCCCACGTTTATATTTTACTTTTTTTCGTTGGTCAGTGAACGGGGTTGAGCCCTTAATTGATTGGGCCCGACATTTAATTAGCAGCGAATATTTGTGTGCCATTGCGGCTTGGCTTTTGAGCTGTAACGTGTACATCAATTTACACTAACTCAGGCTAGGTGTTGGGGTCGGGGGAGAGGGCGCACGCAGAACTACAAAGTCATCCGGCCTCTCGCTCGCCAGCAAATGGGGTGGTACTTATGCCGCCTCCTCCCGAGTTGCCTGTTGTCATTACCTTAATAAAAAAAAAGTCTGCGTGCCGGGGCAAGCGATAAAAAACAAAGGGGTCACAATCATTCGAGCCAAAATCTATCGGAATTACGAATTACAGATCTCTTTGATTCTGGGGTCTTCCTCCGACGCGGCGCGGAACTCCCGGTGTTATTGAAGCCCGATCTGCCCTCCCTACCTTCGGCTGCTCTTGTCCCAAAAGCAAATATTTCTTTTGCAGCCCCTACGCGTCGGGGTCTCACGGGGTCATAAGTCTGCTAAAGGTCGACAAAAAGGTTTCTAACACATTATAAAATTTATTTAATAACTAGACAGAAAATCAGTTTTGAGCTTAACATTAAATTTAAAGACAAATAATAATCTAAAGACTTCAAGAAAACATATACATATATAATTTAAAATAGTTATAAATGGGTAAATGAATATATAGTGGGATATTTTAAAAGAGTTGCCTATTCTTTTATTTTACTTCCCTAAGAGAGCATAATCTTTTCTTCATTAAAATTTTGTTTGGGCCAACGGACAAATAAACAAAGATAAAACATGAGAAAGGGCTATCGAACATATAAACGAACATCAAACAAGCAAAACGAACATGCAAACGCGCACTCGAACATATAAAAGCTCATCCGATCGCCAGCGTCTGAAATAATTTTAAGTCCGGTTCCCTAGTCTTTAAGTTACTTTACTTTAAGTTTTAATTTAAAAGGTCGGTTTGATTATGCCCATTGAAATAGGTTCCGCAGTGTGTGGGCTTTTTTTCCCTATTTTTTTTTTTTTTTTTTTTTTGACAAAATATATATGGGGCGATATTCTCTTCCTCTTTGTCTCTTTCTACCTTTCCCTTTTCCTTCTTTAATAATTAATGTTGTAATTCACACTCACCCGCACTTTTTGGCGTTCCATCGAAGAAAGCGCTTTCCCGAGGATTGTGGTGGCCTGGATATCTGGTGTAAGGGGGCAGAAAGAAATAAATACGGAATCGAACTAAAAACTACCCGATCACACTGCACAAAATTTTCTCACATCCTATTTTTTTTTCGATGCGCAAACAAAAATTTTCTTCTCTTTGAAAATGACACCTAAAAAAAAAACACTAATTCACTATTTATAAGCTATAAAAAAAAATCCCATCCAGTCCTTGGTCCTCCGTCCTTCCTTCTTCTCGCTTTCGTCCAGTGTATCCTATTCCTCTTTCTCCTCTTGCGCAATCGCTGCAGGCGGTTCCAGAAGCGCCAAGCCTTTGGCGCGTCTCCCAGGCCTGGCGGAATACCGGAACCACGATTTCCGACGCCTCGCACTCGTCCCACGCTTGGCGTTTGGGTTTTGGCCAATTCGACCGATTTTGGGCAAGAAACGAAATTTTTCCCGGGGAGCAGAAATATGAAAACCACCGTCGAGCGCGGTCGCAAGCGAACTAGAACTAGGTTCGAGCTGATATGTTCACCGAACCTCGCTTGATGACCGTCGTGAAGTTCGACTAGAATTCGGATCCCTTTTATTATTTCTCCCCTTGGATTTTAAAAAAAAATATTTCTCCCACTTACCCAGGGGGCTCAGAGCTCCTTTCACAAAAAAAATTATGTTCACACCACTTAGCTTCAGGGATTAAGATCACAATTTTGGCTGGAGAAGATATGTACTGGCACCTTCGATCAACTTGGTTGAACTGTGCCGACCGACGCCACCCTTTTGGCGCCTACCCCTAGATCCTCTCTCGAGATGGGATAAAGACCCAGAACTCGATGACATTTGGCCCTGTTGCTCTCACTGCCCTTTTCCTTATTGCCATTCCACAGTTCCTCCACCCTTGATGTTGAAGGTTGGTGGCGTCGCTATACGGTATAAGCGTTGGCAGATACAAGCGTTACAGAGCACATTCATAATGCTTTGATGGCTCGTCGGCCTCCCGCTTCAATGTCACCAATTATGCTAATTAAAGGTGCCCTCGGCGGAGGTGGAAAACCGGTGGAAAACCCAAGCTCAACAATGCGCGCAAAATGTCTCCGTTTATGACCCCGACTGGTTTTTCCAAGTTAACTGGCTAAGGGTGGTTCCTGCCAAAAGCCCGCTGGCTGATGGCTGGTGGCTATTTTTAAATGGCAGGTTCAGGGGCTCCAAAGGACCTGGCTTGGGCTTAAAAAAGGGCTAACTAAGAGGGCGGGGTCGGGTAAATTGACAGCCAAGGCGTAATTATCAAAATATGTAGAAAATGGCCGGGCTTGGGTCTTCTGCCTTCTGGAATTGACAAATTAACATAAGAATGGTCGGCCAAGTGAGCAGCGGAGCAGGGGAGGGATAACGTTTAGGGACAGATTGCCGCATATCTTAAGCTCTCGAGCGGTAACGAACCTGTTGATGAATCAAACAAGAAATTCAAATTTAAGACCTGGAACGGGCGTGGCCTTGCACATTGTCTGCGTCTGCTTAACGCTTGCTGCACTAATTCAATTAAATATTTGTCTTTGTAGTTTTCCCTCCATCAAGAGTGGGATTTGTGGGTGGGGAGGGGGTGGTAAAATATGACGAGGACCAGGCCCAGCCCAGAAGACAAAGGCGAAAGCCAAGTCTGCCGGCTCAGGATAAACAGCTCGCCCGCTTCTCCGGGATAATGCAAATATTGTCGAGAACGGCGGGCTTTCACTCAAAAAGTGAGAGCAGCCCTGGCGGCTGGAAGGAATGAATTTATTGCTTTTGGGAATTTTCCACTTGATGGCATTTAATGCGATTTAGTATTTAAATGAAGCAGCATTCGATGGAAGGGGTGGGGAGGGGGAGTGGCACTGGAGTTTTGGCCCATGGTCGTGGCACAACAAAGACGATAAACTCATTCGGGCGCATTAAATTAATCTCGGCCGAGGCAGCAACAAATGCGGCGACTTAATATAGGGTCTCGATAATCCGCAGCCCACTTTGCATGCATTCGAATGCCTCAATTTATTCCCCTCGAAACATCCAACCATCGATGATTTTCAAGGACCGGAATCGTGGAATAGTTTTCGCTGATTGAAAATCGCATCGGTCACACACGACTGCAGTGGTCGACTGACAGGGCAATCTAAAAATGTTTTGCTGGCTGCACAAGAGCTGCTCCTCAGATTGCAGATAAAATTCCATCGGTTTTGGTTTCAGTTTCAGTTTCCGTTTCAGTTTCTGTTTCAGTTTCTGTTCGATTGCAAACGGCAAAATTCCCGCACTGATTTTATGTAAATACACCAGTAATTGGCGATTGTTCGCTTTTTTTGCTGAGATTTTTATTATCGGATAGTGTAGCATGACAATATGTTAGTTGAATAAATAAATAAATAATTGGTGTGTCGTAAAAAGTGTGTGTAAAGTGCATAAATCTAGTCGCCAGGCAGGCAACATCCTAATTAAGTGTGGAATATGCGTATAAATATTTTCATAAACGGTAACTGTTCTATTTGGTTAACAAAATAAGCCGAGCAGCCAATTGGCCGTTGCATAATTCAATTAAAGCGCCTGCATTAATGCTAATGCAAATAGCAGCAAAATAATTGACTTTCCATAATTTCGCCGCTCGGCTGCTCCAGCGAATAAATATTAAAATTAACTTAGACTCGCTACCCGTCACATAAACGAAACTAAAGAAAATTATGCACGAATTATGCTAATTGCATGTATAAACAAAAAGTGAAACGAAATATGTCTAAATTGAACCGCCACCCGGTAGAGAATAAATAATTGATATCGCTGTGAGTTATTATACAGAATAATCGGACGAGGTCGAAAGATTTTTAACTTTGTTGCGGGGAAGAGAAAAAACTTTCAAGGAAACCTACGGCTAATCGAGGATACTTAACACTACTATTTAACATTTGTTCGCTTATTAAGTTGTTCATAGAACTTACTTTTGATATATCATAGATATATGGTTCCTAAAATTACCTCGACACCTTCATGCTGCCAGCGAAGGATGCTCAGGATCAGGCTGGACCTTCGATTGTGGTGGAGAGCTCCGGATGCTGCGACCTTCTGACCAATTTCGCCTCGGACTACTAATGGCGGTCGTTTAGCTCCTGGTTGAGAACTCCAGCCACAGGACCTCGTCCTGGTGAGTCATCCTTCGCACGGACAGGCAGCAGTTGAATAAAGATGTCGCCGGTAAGTCAAACATGCGCAGGTGCAGCCGAATTACCAGCTGCAGTGCGGGATCAGAGTTAGATCTACGATCGATTGCGGTTTAAGAATTGGGGGGTCACTTATTGCCCTGCCCCCAGACGAACTTACCTTCGCCGGCGGACGAGGGTAGTAGAATCTTAGCCTAGAGCCAAACTTAATCGATGCACGAACTTACCTTCGTGCCTAACAAGATTGTGATTGAGGGTATGTACAAGGACTGAAACTAGAACTCGCTAGGCCCACAAGGCTAGTCGAGCATAGTCAGCGGATCAGATCGAATCGGATTGGATCGGGACAGGTGGGTCGGTCAGGTGTACCACTTACAACTAGCAATAAATTACTGGCCATGACTGGCTTTTTTCTACTGGCTGTAGGGATGGCAGAACTGGTAGACCAGCCGCTGCGAGCGCTCCGTCTTCTTCATGATTCCCTTCTTGTAGTACTGCCGAATGGAGCGGGACAACTTGTCGTAGTTCATCGCCGGTCGGTTCTTGCGGCGGCCCCACAACTTGGCCACCCGCACGGAGTCCTCGATCTTGAAGATCCCCTTGCTGCGGTCGATCCACCGGATGGCGGTGCCATTGACCTGCGGCGAGGCCAGCAGCTCCTTGAGGAACTGCCACAAGTGGATGTGGGAGCCACCGCCTCCAGTGCGTCCTCCGTTCGGACGTTTTGCCGTGGCTGTACCACCGGTGGTGGGAGTGGCTGCGGCTGAAGAAGTGGAACTGCTGGTTAGCGGTGTAATTGTTGCATCTGCTTCCATGTCTTCGTCATCTGCATAAAAGATATAATAATATTAATACTTTGATTACATTAAAACCTGCGGACTTAAAAGAAAATAACGATGATTTAAATTAATTAAATTAATCTTTATGCAAATATCTGTAACAGACTTGCTAATGACCTTATGTTTTGAAAATCATTCTACTTCTCAAATTACTAGCCAATAAATAATCATTTCCAAATGATTAGTATTAACCAAATATGGAGATATCTTCATAATCTTCATTCTTGTAATGAATTCATTAGGGTGGCAAAAATCACGTTTACAAGCAGACGAAACAGTTCTCAGAAATCGTATAATAAATTCAAGCAAGCCAAACCATTACAACAAACAATACGGTTTTGTTTTTAATGCTATGCAAATCACCTTCGCTTTTGCCAGCCATTAAACTCACCTTCGCTGTCCTCGTTGAAGTCGAGTTCCAAATTGGGCATCGCATAGCTGGCTGGCCAGAGATCAGCGTTGGCAGGCTGGTGACTCTGCTGCTGCTGCTGCTGATTAGTGGGCTGGTCGGCATAGGCCATCTTCCAAATCTCCAGCTGGGCGTGCAGTGTGCTCCCGCTCTAAAAGACAGAGAAAAAAAAGAAAGAAAGCCGAAAGTGAGACATTTCGAATGGGCACAGAGCCTTAATCCTGGCCAGATTGCAATCTGGACGGCATATCAATTGGAAATTCTTAGGCCGACCAAGTGCATAAATTATGTTTGCAGTCTCTATGGTCCAAGTTGCATTGCATTGGCAGCAGCAGCAACAACAGCAGCAGCATAAAACAACAACAAGACGGCTCAACAGAAACCAGAGACAACGGCGACGACTTACTTTCACCTTGCAATGTCGTTGCTGGTCGTTGGCTCAGTTCGAGTGCTGCCAGTCGCGCTCTTGCCGCTCCACCACCCCCTCCAAAAAACCTCCTCCCCTTCCCATACCCCTTCCCTCTCCACCAACGATCGCCATTGGAGCTGCGGCGATGGCTCGTAATCATCCGTGCTGCAGTTTCACCAAACAACCTTCACACATTCTTTCACCTTTACAGCCATGACCACGGTTACTAATTTTGTTTCTTTCAGCGACTGACTGCCGACTGCCGACCGACCGACTGACTGCTCTCTGATTTCGTTGGCTTTGTCATGCGTTCGCGTTCGTTGCCTAAGTCTTTTGTTTTCTCCCTCCCCTTTCCCCTCCTTCCTTCCCATTTCTTACTGCACTCTTGGTAGCAAAAGCAGCAGCGGCAGCTAACGAGCCTAGCCGAATGTAATCATTGATATATTTTTGGCAAGACTCTCGACGACATGGGAGAGCACATGTTCGCTGGATGTGGATGGGATGTGGAGTAGTTTTAGACGCCGCCATCCAGCCAGCCATTCAGCCAGCCATCCATCCAGCCAGCTCTGCCTAATTGCTGGCAACAGGTTTGGGGTTTTTTGGGCTTGAGGACTGAGTAGCTGAGTATCTGAGTAGCTGAGCATCTGAGCTTTGGCTTTTAAGTTTTGCGTTTTGCTTTCTGATTTCTGATTCCGAATGGGCCTGTAAGCCGCTCTGGCTGCCAGCCATGACGTCAACGCCAGTTACGAAACTTGTTTCGTTTTAGTTTTCGTATCGTTTTGCGTTTTGTTTTGCTCTTTTTTGTTGTTGTTTTTTTATTAAGCATTTCCATTTCCATTCCATTTCGAACCGTACGCGAAATTCAATTCAATCGCATTGATTGGGCCTCTTCGAATATTGGCTCTTTGCTATTGGCATTTGCATTGTGTTATTGTTTTATGTGCCATGGGCTATTGGCCCGTTGCTTTGTGCTGATCGATTTTGTAATATGCCCAACTATTTTGGCACTCGCCCAGTTAAGTCATACGTGTTTGACTCACACTTCTTGCATGGCATCTATATTTCCACTTAATTTATAAACTGAACTCTAGGTGTCATTGAAGTTTCTTATTGCGGGTTTCTTCTGTTTTCGTGGAATTTTTCAAAATACCCCTGAGAGTTTGTTAACATTGCTGGTGTCCATAAAAGCAGAACGGTTTATGTGTCATAAAAATATGACGAAAGAAGTCGGCTTAATTATTATTATTAAATAATTTAATTAGCATATTTTAGGTATTACCACAGTTCGATAATTTAAAACCTGTTGGCAGCGATTTGATCTGAAAACTCTCTAATATTTATAAGCAAAATCACATGGGTAATAATATTTAATGAATCTAGTACCCCATTTAACCAAACCAGTTCACTAATTATTAAGGCACTCTAAAAAGCTAATTAGACGGTTTTTGGTACCACCAGGTACAAAGCTGTACCCAAAACTTAACAACTCAATAAGGAATCTACAGATGGAACTTTAAGACTTCTGCAAATCTCTAGAGATTTCTGTGACACCTTTTTGATAGCGAGTGTTTGATTGAATGTCGGTCTCACCTCGGGCAATCGGCGCACGAATTCCTCCTCGCTGAGTAATGTCAGAGCGGCTCCATCTTCACAGAAATGCAGCTCCAAGTCGGCCACCGGGGGAAGTCCAAACTGGGCCAAGGTGGATCGTAGCCATGCGTGTACCTGAGCGGGCGACCAGCCATTCGGATCTGCAGAATCATCATTGTATTATTTAACCACTTAAACATATTTAGCTATATCCAACTCACCCTGCGATATCTGCAGCTCCGCGCAGATGGCGTCCGCCTCCCGTTTGGCATGTTCCAGAGCCAGCGAAATGACCGGCTCGAAATCTCCGCGCACCTCGGCCAAGCCTCCGATGAAGGATTCCAGAGCCAGTGGCTTCAGGTTGTGTCGCTTCTGGAAGCTGGTGTCCTCGAGGCACTCGCGGAGCAGCTGGTGATCCGGCTTGGTGTCCTGCAGGCTCTGCTGCTGCAGCAGGGAGTTCAGGTCGATGAGGCTCTCGATGTCGGCATCCAGTGGCTCCGCCTTGATGCTCTCCCCGCAGGAGGATCGCGGCGAGGGGGGTTTCACAGTTGGACTCCGGTGGAGAGGGCGGCAGGATGTGCAGCTCCTGCTTAATGCTGACCGCCTCCAAGGAGGGCGAAGGACTGTTCAGGCTGTCGTAGCTGCCGCCGAATCTGCCGAATCCGAAGGCCGCGAACTCCGACTGCAGCGGACTGGATTGGGGGGAGGGGTAGGCGCTGTGGGGATAGGCGGGCGGCGGGATCAGCTGGTGGCTGGAGCTGGCAAAGGGGGCGATGGGTGGTTGCTGCTGCGGCTGCTGCTGCACTGGTTGACTCTCCCAGGCGCACTCGACCTTGATCTGCGGAGCGTTGTACTGGAAGACTGTGGTGGGAATGGGGGCGGATTCCTGTGGCAACAGCGATAGGTCGAAATTGTCTGCATACGCAGAGTACTGATCCGGCGACGTTTGGGCCTGGAACTGATGTGGCTTCAGCTGCGGACTGTGCGGCATCTGCGGAGAAACAAAGAAAGTGGCCCAGAACATTAGTATACTGTACAAAAAAGGTGTTATTTTTACAAATTTAATTAAAGATTTTTCATAAACGAAAAGGTTTTAAAAAGTTATATATTCTAAAAAACTTCTAAGAAGTAATTAAATTTCACCAATCTGATTTTTCTAATCAAACTTTTTCCTTATAATCTGCTTTAGGTAAACGGTTTGTTTAGTTTGTTTTCAAAATTTTTTTTTTCGAACTATGAAAAAATGAGTATCTTTTTTTCCAGTGCACAGACAAGAACTGAAGACTCGGACTACCAAAAATTGAGATTGCCAAACCAATGGCTGCTAATTGAAAATCAAAATACTGCAGGCGCCATCTTGCCGGGGCCACACTAATTACCCGTCGATCTGAGATGCCAAATCGCGGCCACCTGTCTTAATTATCACGCCCATGAAAGTTAATTAGTTTTATTTCACCGCTTTTTTCGGCTTCCAGTTGGAATTTGCGTATGTGCGGCCGCCTTTCTAATTCGTACTCACAGTACCACCTACCTGACAAAGAATGGAAATTTTCGGAACTGTTTCGGTTCTGATTGGTTTGAGTGTTGGGGACTGGGCTTAACCTTAGTTATCCACGTTATCCACGGCTGGCTGGCGGGACTCGAGCTGATGCGAATTGAAGCCAACGAGACAAGAGCAAGAGGCGTACTAAGCTCCGAGTGGCATTGATTTTCTCATTTATCAAGCTGCGACTTCGACTGTGACGCCACAGAATGGCAGCTGCGAGAAGGAAAAAAACCCAAAGCCCCATGGACGACAAGGGGGTGTGTGCTTTTTACGAGCGGCCAAACAATGACTAGATCAAAATCGAAGCGTTCTCTCCGGGCTTCACAGCCCTCCGCCCACAAACCGTGCTCTAGCCTAGAGTTTTATTTACTTCTGTTGTATTTTTTTTTATTTTCATTTATTTGCACAGCGTCATAAAAGAAGGCAGTGTTAATACGGCTCGAATGCGCTACCAATTTTTACCTCCGCGAAACTGGTTTTTCATTAAGCAACTCGGTGCAGCGGCGACTTTTGTTTGCGGGGAGCCCAAGGGGGCGGAGAATATCGAACATGGCTATGCGCTGTGCGCTTATTATTAATAAAACAGCTCATACTGGATTTTCCGACCGGCCCTAGGCTCTCGAGGGGGGTGGTGATCGGTGGGCGTTGTTATTGGCTGTGCTCGACGACGCCATAATTCTAACTAGTCACGATGTTATTACAATTTCTGTGTTTTAATTGTTCGACAACGGGGCGTATGAGTGATTTCAGTTCGCTTTTCTCGCCTGCCCGCTAATTGCCAGCGCAAACATTTCGATTTCGCTTTAGCACTCGGCGATTACCTTGCGTAATCTGCATATTATTAGAGCGATATCCACAGCCGTGTACTTCACCCGAATCCGAAATCGACTTGGGATCTTTAGAAGCCCAGTGCCAAGGAAAACCTAGGACATGATTCAGCAGCTGCAGCCAATGACTCAGTCGACTGGCCATAAAAAAGTGCTGGTTGCTCGGCAAAAACTGCATAATAAATTGAGTTGCTACGGCCATTTATGGGACATTAAGGGACAGGCTTTAAAGTCAACTAGTTACTACACTGTCCCGCATTCTAAAGGTGATTGCAAATAAAAACTATCCCATCATTACATTTTATGGCCATTATCTGAACACCACCCACATAAATACTCCCAAAAAAAAAGGTATTCGATAGGATCTCAAGGAAAGACTCTCTAAATAGGTAATGCAAAGTAATGCTAATAAATATTCCCACTGCCAGCCAATAAAAGCGGACAGAATTTGCATTTTTTACTCGAGCTTTGATTTATTCTCGGTATCATATTCGCCTACCCTTAGAATGGCCCACATCCTCGCAGGCGGGCAAATTAGATCACTCGGGTTATTCCAGCTCATGGATTTCCTGCTGCTTCGGGCCGAAACAACAAAAGAGCTCGGCGATCTGAATCATGTGGTGTACTCGTAAATTTTAATTAAATCTCGTTCTACAAAAAGCGAGAAAACAAGCTTCAGCAATTCTGACAGAATCGGAGTTCCCAGTGCCGCAGAAAGATGCGGACAAAAGGCTTTTTGTGGCCAAACGCTTTCGGCCGGTAATATTTCATTGGCGTGTCCGACATGGGGCGGCTGTCAATAAACGCTTTTGTTTGGCCCAAGCCAGCGGCATGGGGATGTATTATAGATGGGGAAGGGGATGGAGTATGGGGGATCGGGGCCAAGAATATCTCGAGTCGCAGCATTTATTGGCATATTGATATGTCGACGTACCAATGGCACCCGCACCCGCACCCATTGGCCCAAACCACGTCACAAACCGCTTGTTTTCGGCCCGTTTCGCAGTTGTTATCGATCACCAAAGCGTTTGGTGTCAAAGGCGGGACATGAAAACAATGAGCCCGGCAGCAATTAGGATTTGGCCCGGCTCTTAACAAGTGGCTGTCAACTGCGTGTGTGTGTGTGTGAGGAATTGTATTTTTAGAAAAACCACAGCGCCATAATAGACACATTTAGCCGGCAGTGCTATTTTTAAAGTAATTTACAAAGGCGCTATTTTGATATGGCTTGGAGTGTGGGCTTCGATTGCGGAGTGGTGAAGGGAAAGCATGATAAGTTCTGGGCTTTCCACCTGAACACAAACAGGATACATTAGTACCCAACACTCGATTCGATGAAAACTCTTATCGAGGAACACGAATGAACAGCGAGTGACTAATGCTGCTCACTCGGATATTCAAATATTCAGAAGCGATGGTCAGGAATTCACATGACGACTGACACGCAGCAGCAGCAAAAGAATCGAATTCCAATTAAATTATAGCAATTTTGAGCAGCCGAAATGCCATATCTTCAAATCTGACTCATTTCAAACGACGAGCTGACGAGCAAATAAATCGAATATTCCGAATTTATTAAAATTCCGGCAAGCTGATAAAAACTCATTTTCCAGCAAAAACAAAAGACTCAGCCGAATGGCCAAACAAAAGACAAAACAAAATAAGCCGAACTAAATCAAATCGAACCAAATCAGAGCAGAGCCATCGATGGCGATGTGGAAATCAGAGATGAAGTCAAAGTTAAAGCAAACATTTTGCGGCGCTGTCAAAGGCAGTGGCAGTGGCAGATTTGATTTCCCTTTTAGAGTCAGCAAATTGAAAAACCCTTACCCGAATTAGCAACAATAACATTTGAGCAATGTGCCAGACAGTGAGAGCGTTCGGTAATAAATTGAAAATATCTGGCTTTTAGCCGAGGCCACAAATAAAACAAAAACAAAAGCAAAAAAAAAGAAGAAAAAAAGGCAAGAGAAAAACAAGTTTTATGATTTTTGTGGCTGGCCAACTCAAACAAAATTCATTAGAACAAGTCGAAGCCACTGTCAAGAATGTGACATATTTATTTGCCCCGAGTGTGTGTGTGCTTGTGGCTTCGCCTAATAATAAAATCAAGTTTACGTTTTAAGAACAACAAAAGCGTTATTAAAAGCTGCGATCAGATAGCATTCTGGGTAGCATTCAACTGGCAAAAGGCAGCAGGCAGCAAGCAGCAGGCAGCAGCTTATTGTCGTACCCGCGCACAATAAATGGAACGAATGGACTGGCCAACGCCTTAGGCCAACTCACGACCGATCTATATAAATATAAATCCATTTAGCCAGATCTTACACGGGGCGCGCCCAGGCCCATAGACAAAGGAGACCTTGGTTGGCCCCAGAATCAGAATCAGAATCCAAGTCCGAATCGGTATCGGAATTAAAATCGAAGTCAGACAAAAGGTGGGAGTGAAGGGTAGGCAGACATGTATGCATGTTCTTAACTTGGCCAGCAATAAAAAAAAGCAACCACTGAACTGCAACTGCAGCTTTGGAGGCCTTGAGTGCTGACATGTCGCTGAGTTATGGCCAGGTGATATTTAAATTAATTTATATGTATCTTTGAACTAAATAAACAAACTATGCTAATGCCGCACGGTCTTAACCTCAGGTGTTCCGAGCCCAGTTGGCTCCGACTGGCGGCAATTGTCAGTTAATCTGTTCTAATCGCATTATGGCAATGGAGCTGGCAAAAGCCAGGCTAAGGTGACCCCCTTCCTTTCTGCCTTAACCCCTTGTTGCCAATTGCCGATTGCCAGTTGTTGGTTGGCCGATGCGCGAGCGCAAATTGTTTGTTTAATGAATGTTCGCTTTATTCGCAAGCTTAGGGTTTGGATATACACCGTATATCCAAAGGGTGCAGCGGGTGGCAGAGGGGTTTTGGCCATGTTGAAGTGCGCTGTCAACAGCATAAGCACACAAACACACAGACAGACAGACATACAGAGACCGGGACAAAGATAGAGATACTCTGGCAAATCCCCCGACGGTATCCACGTACAATCCACCAATCTACCAATCTACCAGCTCTCGGATGCGTGGGTTAAGCTGTCAAAGAGACAAGACTTATTTCTGCTTATTTTTACATCGCCCGAGTCTGCCTTCTGTTTGTTTCACTCATTATTCTGTATTCCAGTATCTTGTATCTTTGTATCTCTGGCTTTTTGCTTGTGTCTCCACCGCAGTTGCTGTTGTTGTTTTAGCTTCGTGACGGGGCAACTCCGCAACTTTGTGTGCATTTCGCGCCGTTCTTCGCTATTTGCATTGCATTTAATTGTCGACATTTCATGCTAGATAAATGGCTGGCAGCGAGGTTAATAAATATATCTCAAATGGGTGCCACATTTCAATTATGCTGCATTCTTTTGCAGCCTGCTTAATATGCCAAGTGTCTGTTAAACTGTAGCGACCCAGAATGTTCCGGCTTGTCGTTCGGGAAACCCAGCAACTAACCAAATTAATTAACGCTCCCACTTTGAAGCTCAAGATGTTCGGTTCTCAGAATGCCGTACATTAACCAGCCTGATAACTATTTGGACACTTCTGTGATGGACAGGCCAGACACACACCCTGGACCCTTGGACCCTGGACTCGTGGCCCATCCCACACGCTCGAGAGGAATGGCCAGGAATGCGCTTTAGTCTGGCCACCGAGCCCGATCCCTGCAAATCCAATGCAATCCCTTCTGCACTCATTATGCACTGCACGCACTGACAATTATTCCGTACAAAAGACGTTGCGAAGCCAACTCATTTCAATTTGCATAAAAGCCAGGCGAGATTCAGTGCTGAAGCCGTAAGACAAGACCCACAACCGCAGGCTGTCTTGGCAATATTTTAGCAATACACTACAAAACAATCTTTAATTGTTTTAAATTTATAGCAACAATGTAGTTAGACTTCCGTGCAAATAAAAGCCTTTAAATTGATTACTGTTTCTTAAAATTTATTTCTTCTGCGGCAAAAAGCGCTCAGTTACATTCCAAAAGTACTCCCGAATAATTGGTTTTATAAACCTCAAAAAGTAATTTTGCCAAGTGCAGTTGCCACAAGAATGGCCAAGAAGCGAGCCACACCCAAAAAGTGATTATTATTGTATAATCGGTTTGATTGATAACCAGTCGTTCTGGATAGTATGGGATAGGGCCCGACAGGGCGAACTTAGAAATGCCACTCTCGATGGATTCTCGATGGAAAGGCCTGGCGCTGAGGGAAAGAAAACCTGACAACTTGAAGTATTTATGTCATGTCGAGTTTTCCTCAACGCAACTCAACTAGACTCGACTCGACTCGTCTTGTCTTGTCTCACGTCTCAGGTCTTTCGTCTCGACTTGAGTCGACTCGGCTTAGAGCTGCTGAGCTGCGAAAGCGGCTTGCATTTATAATTGTTGGCAGTAGTATTTACTTTATTATGTCCATAAATATAATGAGACATGAGTGTGGCTGCAGCATTTCTGAGCGCTCTTCTTAGGCCAAGTCTTTGCTTGGTTGTCGTCTTCTTCTGTGTCAGCGATTGGAAAATCGCGGAGACACATTTCCATCAAATCAATCAAAAATGGTAAATACAAGTTTTTTTTCAGCTGCTGCCTTCTGACGCTTCTGTGTTTTCATTTATTGCCGTTGCCCGGCAGCGACTTTGAACGAAACGTCAAAGACTTGCGTACATCGCGAATGGAGCTTAAGTAGGTCCAACAAAAACTATCTGCTGCTGCTGCTGCTGCTGCTGGATTGGAATGCACTTTCCGAGTGAAATGCCAGGCCGAGATGGCAGCTCTTACTCGGCGTTTGTGGCACTGTTTGTTGTTTGTGTTGTTGTTGTTGTCATGCCATAGTTGACAATCATTTAGAATCACTTCTTGCAAAATGAAAGCATCTTTTGAAAGTTGCTGCCATCGTTGGTTGGTTGGCCACTGCAATTGCTATTGCTATTGCTATTGCTGTTATTGTAATTAAAGCGAAATGCCATAAGACAAATGCGAAAATGTAACTGGCAAGTGGATGGGAGCTACTCTCACCCAGTGACACGCATTCGCGAGTGGCAAGTTTGCGAGTTGCGAGCTGCAAGCAGCAAGATGCCAACTGCGAGATACTTCTGCCGCCTACACGAGATGCGCTGCTAATTAAAAAAACCGCAGCTCTGCTTTAGTCCGCCAAACTGCGCATAACAAGACACAGATACAGATACGGATTCCCATTGCGATCCCCATTTTTCTGCCCGTTGATAATGGCCAGGCGAAAGGTTATCAGCTATTTGCGCTACAGCCCGAGCTATGTTTTCAAGCAGATACAGATACATTATCGCCACTTACCTCACTGCCTGGCATGTACAGCATTTTCTCGTACTCCATTTCTGACTGTCCGTCTGGCCAGTAACAATAGTCGTATTTCGCAGATACTTCTCAGGCTCTAGCTACTGTATCTGTAGCCGCAGCGCTAGCTTGGCTTCGCTGTATCTCTCGGCATGCAAAAATCAACCGTCAGATGCGAAAGTCTCCTAGTCGCCTGTCTCGTTCTCACACGCGGACTGCCGCTCTCGCCGTCTCTTTCTGCCTCTTTCACTTGTTGCTGTTTTGGTTTTGATTTTGATTTTGGTTTTGACTGCTCGTTGGTGTTTTTTTTTTCGATTTTAACTAGATTCACTCAGCGTTTTGTTTCACCGCCTCGGCCTTTGTGTTCATAATGGGCTTTTGGATAGTTTCGAGTTTTTTGTTTTGATTTCTGGCCGCTTATTGATTGTTTTTAAGCCAGTTTGTTGCATTCACTGGACAAGTATTCACTGCATTTCGTTACTAAAATTTCCACTGGCAAACTTGTTGCTCTCTCTCTTTCACTGTCTCTCGCTCTTGCTCTCTCTCTCTCTCTCTCTCTTTTGATCTGACTATCTCTATCTGGCACTGTTTTTGTAGCTCGGTCCGCTTGTCGACCGTTCGCCAAGTCTTCACGCTCAATTCTGCGAGCGGTACGCGGCTCGATCGCTCCGCTTACCTCATGCGAGGAGCTTTTGAGCCGCCAAACTGGTTGTTAAGCTCGAATTGGGGAGCTTTGCCATTCAGCCATCGTCGCGATATCGATGTGATTCGAAGCATGAGTCCATCAATTCCGAGATGAAATTTATTGGCTCGCATAAAATGACAATGACAACTGGGCCACTGCGAGCTGTGATTGCAGTGATTGAATGGCCCACAGCAGCCACGCCCACAAGAGGAGTTTCGGTGTAGCCATCTTCTCACAAAAGCGAACGCTCGAAACGTTTGTAACGGTTCCTGGCCGCCGCACGTCTGCTGCATTATCATTTCCGCTTCCGCTGCACAAGAAGAAGCGAAGTCTGGGCCAAAAGAAATTGCCTGAGAGTTGCCGGCAAAACACAATTTCATTTGGCATTTATATTTCATTGGACAACGACGATTTCAGAGTTTTTTGACATCGCATAAAAACGATGACGCCGGCCATAGTTTTATCCTTTCTTACAAAGTCCCGAAGGCCATTGACTTCCGCTAGAGCAACATATAAATGAAACGATTTCATATGGGAATGAAAAAAACTAAATAAGTCTTCAAACCCATAACAACAATTTAAATTTGTTCATTTACAGGGCCAATTGTAAAAGCTTAACATCATTCGTTTTCAATTTTATTTTAGCCCATCAACTGATTCATTTAAATTGCCCTTTAGCAGCAATAAATTTTGTAAAATTGATCTTATTAATTTAAATGCTAATTTTATTTCTTTCAATTATAAATTGAATGCCATCAACACATTTGAAATCGGACTTGTTTAATATATACGAGCATATTGTGATAAATAAAGAAATGACGAATGCTATTGATTTAAATGAGAGCATCGTTTTTTACAAATTGCGTAATTAATATAACAGTAATTTGAGATTTGATTTACAGATTTTCTCAGCATTAATTGCAGTTCAATATCCCACTGACCCACTCAAGGGTATCATCGAGGATGGCTGCAATTTAGCAAGGATATCCGGCAGATCCTTGTTCGACCATTGTTGGCCTGCCGCCGAGCCGGCTTAAATTGGCTGAGCAGGATGCACTGTCGCCTAAAATGAAAGGCATGTCAACAGCAATTGGCACTCAGCTAACCAGCAAGCCAGGAGGAGCTGCTCTGCGGAGGAGCCGGCTCAGTGTGCTACCGCGCATTCTGCCGGTGGCCATCATTATGCCAAATGCCGGACACTCCGCGCTTAGCGACTCCCAGAGAATACCCAGCCCTCGATTCCCCTGGCGAAGTTGTCGCCAAGCTCCATACACGGGAAAAATATTTAAAATCACTTTTCTTTTCTTTTCTTCTTTCTATCCTTAGAAAATAGGATTTATAAAAATATATATACAAATTTAATGTACCTTGCATATTTTTACATCTATGAAACTGAAGTTATACTTAATTTCCTATCCTTTTTATTACATCTTCAATAGATAGTAAGAAAATACTTGTCTAAAAAGTCATTTAAAATGTTCTAAAGCACCCTTAACTCATTAAAATCAGATAAAATGTATCTAACTAATCTGATTTTAGTTTCTGTGTACGGCTGAGCAGGATCTCGATTGCTGGCAGCGGTTCTCCGTGAAGGACAGCCGGCACAAAGGAACGGCGTGTTTAATGGTGAGCTGCAACCGCCGAGAGCCTCGATGGGGCAGCTCCTGATGGGACAGCATTAACCCACGGCACAATGGTGGCTCCGATGGATCGGCCAGGAAACGTGCTGAAGTGGCAGGACACGCAAAGGCCGCGACGAACAGCTGAATCAGCGCCTGGGGCAGGCCACCAATCAACGGGGAAATGACGCCAGCTCCAAAGCGGAACAGCTCCACGGGCCACCTGCTTAGATTGACCGGCCGGGGATTCACTTGCCTGCTGGAAAGGCCAGTAAAAAGTCTTATTTCTTTGTAGGATATCTTTTGCAATAATCCCTGAAAAATAAGGAGAAAAGCAGCATGCAGAAACATCAGTTTAAAAACTTCAATGCTAACTTCATATAAACTTTTTTTAAATAAATACAAAATTGCGTTATTAGTTTCAACACTGTATACGCTTTTATCCAAATTAATCACCACTTTCACAAGATTAGCTAATCGCAGTATTAAAGCCGCCGCAAAGCCTCATTTAATCAGGCTGGTGCAAGATAAACCAACTGCCAATCGGGAGCATGTCGACCAGGACACCAAGTGGTTGCAGGATAACCTGCGGCTGGCTGTCGATTCGCATTAGGTCCAGCTCCGAGCCCTGAGAGTTGATTCGATTTGCCAGACATCGTGTTGGACTCTTATGAGTACCAGGAGATCCAATCCGTTGCGATGGAAGGGCCACAATGTGCATTGCATGCGGCTGCCATTGGGATCTCACACTGATTGGTCCTAAATCAAAGCCAGGATTAATGCGTTAGTCGAACGGCGTCTGGGGAGGAAGGGAAAGAGGGTTGCATACAAATAGACGGCCGCACGCACACACAGAAACAGTAGCCAGACAAAGTCCGTGTGGCAGTGCAGACAGTGCAGAAGTCCTGGCAGGAAGTGGGCTAAAACAAGCCTCACACATGGGCGGGGCAAAGACGTGAGGCGTGACAGCGCATGCAGCCGGATGGATGGTCAATGAGACACTTCCGGTGTAGGAGGCCACAGCAGGAGCATTGATGTAAATGAAAGCCGTTTCGCTTAAGCCGAGCACAATGGCCGTGCGCACTCCGCACTCCGGAAGCACTGCATCCACGGTGCAGCTGGGCGGGGAAATGGCCCGGGGATGGACATCTCCTGTCTCGACGGACAGCACTGCCAAAGCAAACTGTTGCACGGCTGCTGGACATTCGAGCAGCAGTCCTTTGGGCACCCCACTCATCCCACCAGGGAGCAGTGCCGCCAGTTTAGCTTTTTTCACAGAATTCCTAAATTTAGATTTTATAGATGCTGAATCATTTATTAAAGTTACTTTATGAACATGCACAACTTTAAAATAAATATTTATCAACATACGATATGATTGAATTTAAATAGCAGAAAATTTAAATAACCGATAACTCGTCAACATGTCATTAATATTAAAAAAAGTCTCTGTCAACTTTGAATAAAACCAAATAAACAATTTTTTGTGTGGCTTGCTTTCAGTTAATCCAATGTGAAAGCAATCCTTTTTATACCCTGGAACAGCCGACAACACAAAAAGTGAGGGGGAAAATGAGAAGGGGATCCGCCCGGCAAATCCCAGTTTGCGGCGGGACTTTGTCTGAATCGAATCAGCGAATGAATCGTTGCGGTGTCATCTCGCTTGGAAATCCGCTCCAAAGCCATTCACAAATGTAATCCGCTGGCCAGCTCAATATGCGGGTATGTAAATAATTGCCACCACCATTGGCGATTTGTCCGATGGCCCAAAGGGGCACTTGATGCGATTCCGTGCCGCCCATCGTAATCATCCAAATGCCGGCATCCTCCAACCTCTGAACCTCTGAACTCCTGGAGGGCTAAAGGAAAGGAAGCGCGACATGTTGTTGAGTGCCAGCTCAATGAGCCGACGCGTTGATTTCAAATAAATAAAAATGTTAATTTTAAAACGGCGCTCGCCTCGCTGCGCATCTCCTCGAAATTACAGTTATTCGCTGTACGTGTTTAATTATTTTTAAATCACGGGTTCGACTCCCGGAGCATCTGACTACGGACCACGGACTACGGACTACGAACCACGGGATGCGAGACTACGGCTGTTTTTGCAGGCTCATCACGTGCCGATTGTCAGCTATTCGAGAGCATTCGCCGAACGCCGGGCCACAACTGTCCACTTAAAGTATTATTTCCGCAGCAGGATTCTTAATTACACGGACTATTTCGTGTGGTTGAATCGGCCTGTTTTGCGGCCACCCTCCCTTACAAATAGTAATTATTATTATTATTTCCTTGACCTGAACTTGACAGAGCTTTAATGCATAATAAATAAAGCAAATGATGACTTTAAGGCACGGCACAAAGAACTTTCGCATATGGTTTCATTTGCATAGCTCGTCAAATTCGAAAGGCGAGTCGAGTGAAAAGTCAAAGGTCAAGCACAGGAAGAGGCAGTAGTAACTTTTGAGGACTTAAGTTAAAATTTATGATTTCGCACAAACAAACAGGGCGAATGGCCCACGGGCAAATGCATTTGACGTTATGCAAATGACGAGCTCACTGACCAGTGACCGTAACCTGATGTCCGTTCCGTCCGGCCGGGATTTGTTGATTAATTTGTTGCAGTCCGTCGTTTTTTGGGCACTTTCTGTTTGTGTTTGTGTTTTCCTGTCTGCATAATGAATCCTTTTGTCGAATTATGATTTCATTGTCTTTGCTATTTATTAATTAAACCGAAACGTTTTATTTGAGTTTCCGAAACCGGATGACAGCAGCCAGCAACCCTCACTTTCTATTTGTTCTGGTGGTTAGCCGCCCCCCTCATCCGCTTCGCAATCTCTTTTTGGGGTTACTTTGCCAACATCATCATCGAATCAATCTCTTTTCGTTTTCAATCAAATAATTAATTGCAAATTTGCGGTTCAGTGCAATCAGTTGCCTTTGACAGACCTCTACCCCATGTGCTCCTCATGGAATTGGGCCTGCTGCTCTTTTCTGTATTTCGAATGCTCGAGAGTGGAGGGCCCTTTGCCGGGCAAGGCCAGGCTTTTTATGCAAAGCCGGCTGACAGTTTCTATTCCGGGGAAATATGTGTGCCTCTACATGTGTACATTTATTTCTTCGTTCGTCGTTCTTCGCCTTTTTTATTCCATAGCCTCCACTCGGCAGTGACGTCAATGGCAAGTCACTTGAACCAAATCGTAATCATGTAGAGCTCATTTGCCTTGAAAGCCGACTGCAGGCAATTGAAAACTGGCAAAAAGAGGCTAACAGGATAACAGGTGAACGCCTCCGTCTCCGGAATTCTCCACTTCCAGCTGGTCGTC